CCTTACTTGTAGTTACTATTTATAAGAGTTCAATGAATTCAATTACCAATATAAACCTCATGTTTATTCACAAACACGTGGATGTATGTTTGATAGTATCTGAGGAACTGGTAGCTTCTCAAGAAAAACTAGGCTCCATGGAGTTAGTAATGTTCGATAGAAGGTGATGTAAAACTATCCCTGTAACAGGCCATGGAGGCCAATAGGGTTATGAGACCACGAGGGTCCCACATTATGTAGACAGTCGGCTCACAGATGGCGGTGAAGTTGTTAGCCTTATGCGCCGGCCACCCTTTACCCTCAGGGAGATTTCTAGTACTCATTTCTCTTAGAAGCTGAGTCGAACTCAGGGCCATAGTGTGGCTGCAAGGATTAAGTCAATTGAAAAAAAAATAAAATCAATCTCATCGGGACTCGAAACCGCGATCTTCCGACTTGTAGGATAGTGCCTCAAACAACCACGCTACCGCATACCTCCGTTCGATATAAACTACTTTAGTTAAATTCCAAGATTTCATCCTTACAATCCTCATTTAACGCTCATCCCAGAAGCCTCCATATTTTAATGCGATTTCTTCCTGCATTCCCCTCCTACACTCATAGTTGCTTCATTATCTGGTCGTGTTCCATCGCGCTCGATCCCTCGCCTCACATTCCTCATGCAGCTCGCTGTTTTGCTCGCCTTCGTATTCACAGTCATACATGAGGTACTACTTGCTTCATGATGTTCACCCTGTTCTGCTGTAGAGGAATGTTATGCTTAGTTAGGCCCCCAACACCCGGCAACCAGCACAGCTTGCCTTGGCTCCTCCCAGTCATCCCAAACAGAGGCCACTAACATCCAGGGAAGTCTCGACTCGGGTATAATTCATAGCGCGAAACATCCATGTAGTATCACGGAAGAATCCTACAGGTACAATTTATCATCTATCTCTCACGTTGTACTCCCCATTTTCAGTATTAATGCCCCGTTTTTTTAAATGATAATTCCGCAAGCTTGTTCTTCTAAAACATGATAATAGTGCTGGAATGAGACGCATGGGATTTCATTGTGGGGCCGTTCTGTTCTTGCTCGGACGTTGGAGGAACACTGTACTGGTACTCCGAATTGCAACTGTTTCATCCTTACCAGATAAACACAGGAACAGGAACATTCATGGCATTTTATCTTGCTGTGTCACATATGAGTATCACTTGGAATAATACTACGGGTAAGGAAACCGCAGCCGTTCACGGTAGGCGAGCGGTCTAAGGCATGCACTGTCTTCGCTCGCTCGGGAGCCGTGATCGTGGGTTGGAATCCCACTCAGGGCATGGATGTTTGCCTACGTTTTTCTGTGTTCATGTACAGGTAGAGGTCTTGCGACGAGCTGATCACCCGCCCAAGGAGTCCTACCGGATGTGTAAGATCTAGAAAAACCGAAGTGAACGGAGAAGTTCATGGACGTAGGCCTAGGCCTGCAGACACTGTAGTGCAAAGGAAAAAAAGGAGACCGCATCGAATATTAGATATGGATTTCGGAATAGATAAAAAACTGTTGAATGTTAGTACTAATTATTGATAATTACTTTATAGGTCGTCAAACATAGTAAGATATATTTTAACGAGTTTCGGGGAAGAAGTTTCAAAATTACGTAACATAACATTTCGTTCTTCCTTCATAGAATACCGGAAGTGCCTTAAACCCTTATTTTGCTTTATTAATATACACAATGCTTGCGTTTCAAGTGATACAGTTGCAGCCAGCCAGTAGCTGTTCCGCTTTATTTCGCACGTAGATCTAGTAATTAGCTCGTACCCTCTTCTCTTTCTCATTGATAGCATGGGCAGTGACTATTACGTCTTTCATAAATCTTTAATTGACATGCTACATATCGACCGTCCTTGAAATTTATGGCTTATGACGGAGTGATTTTACTGTTAGCATGTTAGGAACAAGGCTACATGTAGATGTTATAGTACTACTACTACTACTACTACTACTACTACTACTACTACTACTACTACTACTACTACTACTACTACTACTATTACTACTACTACTACTACTACTACTGCTGCTACTGCTAATAATAATAATAATAATAATAAAGGTAAAGCTGTCCATGTGCTTAACTAATTGAGCACTACGCCATAAAGGCGTACGGAGGAGTGGATGTATAGATCCACATTTTCTTGACATCGGCACTGGTTCTAGGTGAGTGGTCAGCTTCACGCCCCCGCCGCTTAACCCCCGGAAAATGAGCCCCCGGTACCCATTGAATAGGAGGTTGGGTAGACCCTAGTGCCGGTCTGGACGATTTGGAGAAGAGAAATTTCTTGATCCTACCGAGACTCGAACTCCGACCCCTCACGTAGCCAGTCGCTCTACCGACTACGATAATAATAAAGATAATTTGTAGTAATAAATAAAGAGTGTTTCAAAGTCTTTTGGAAGACCAAACATATTAGCATGCGCTATTGCCAGCAGAATTGTGTACTCTATCAGTCTTTCTAACTAGGGTTGGTAACACGAAATATGTAATTAGAAGTTGATGGAAAATGTGGTTTAAACCAATGGAATTTTGCCAGCAAAGGGCGAGGACGCAGCAAATGATGAACGGACGTTTTATGCTAAATTCTCACTCGTACAGCGAGATAATTAGTTTCTGGTAGACTGATTACTAAAACCTCAATTCTGAGGTCTAATATTCGCCTACGTGAAACACAAACAACATGCTCTCAGCAGAGGGGCTGCTAGGTCTGAATGCCCTGTGACAGATCATAACATACCAACTGCGTTAATTGTAATAATAATAATAATAATAATAATAATAGTAATAATGTACATTTTTGTGGCTGACGGGTGCGCCATGAGGAAAGTCAAAGAAACCGGAGTGGACTCAAATAAGTGGAAAATGTCCGTAAGCTGTTTGTGCTCTTCGTCTTACTTAATGAGGCTAAAACACAAATATTATAAGGACCTAAACTGAATAAGCAGATTCTAAAGGGTTCTGACGATGGTGCATAGCACTCAGAATGACTGGAGTTTGGGCTTTTTCCATCGTCCGGTTTCCTAGAGACTAGAAAATACGTTTCGGAAAACTGATCCATTTCCGTCCTGAGGTGAGGGGGAGAAGACACTTATTCAGTTGGGTCCTTTAGAAAGAGGTTAACTCTTTCTAACATAACAGGTACACTCCTGTCACCATTTGGGCACAAATTGTCATGTATCAGTTACCCACTAAACTGACTACACTCCTGCTAATATTGATGACGAGGGCAAAGCTATGAAAGTGACTTGAATAACTTCACAAGGATTTAGTAATAATCACAAATTTTATTTATTCCTCTATTTTATGCGGCTGCATCTGATTTTAAAGTAAGTCTGAAATCCTTACCTTACATACACCCACCCCAATCTTCGAGTTACCCGCTCTTCCTCTCTGTCAGACTAGTGGCGTAATGAGTCTAATTAAACCACGTACTGGAACAGGCGTCTTCTCGGTCAAGAGCACCCTGAAAATTAATTTTAGATTTACTCTCTCCAAGCTTAACAACTGATGCCTACTGCGCTACTTCCACCAGCAGCACAGGTTTCGGTACTAATAAACAGACCCGAGTTACTAACATTTAAGTTACTGCACAGTAGTTACCTCAGACACTGGTGTCAGAAGTGGGAATTTGGATTGGAAATGGTGCCGACGTGGTTAGGATCGGACACAGCCGGTCAGGGAGAGACGAAGGCTGATCGTGAAGAGATAAAAGCTGCCATGAGCGCTGTCCGGTCCACCCAGACCAAGTTTTAAGGAACCATCGGTGACAGGTGACGTCTGTAAATCAGCAGACCAAGAGCCTCCGTGAGAAAATCCACAGAGTTCGAAGGAACACGACTGGATATGTGAGTTGTGTAGAAACTGGTAGAGGCATCAATGTGGAAGTCGAAGCCTCAGCAGGACATGCAGACGGCAGGAACGCGGTCACAAGCGCGGTAAGGACGAAGTCGTCGAGGTTTTGTGGGACGTCTTCCTGGATCCTCTTTCACGGTCAGAGGCTGTTGCGGAACACAACTGGACAGCCCGGGAGAAGGGCACGCATCTACTCTCCTACCTGCATGGGCAGGAAGCCAAAACTCTTCGCCGGTTCCTCGCTCGCGGATTTTTATACACTGAAGATGCAGGCGATACGTTCCTCCGAAACGTCAGTTTACACAATATCTACACGGCGCCACATTTTTCATTGACAATTATTTTCTGTAATTGCCTTGTTACAGATCTACAGGTCCTGCTGATGGCAGTAGCTCAAGTCGGTAAGAACTGAACTCCTCAGGGCCTCAGGGCGATAGATAGGCTCGTCTACTCTTCTTAATTCAATAAGGAACCTTTATGATAACCCAGTGCGAACTGATTTGTTTATAATTTAAACTGTCGTCACCAGGTTGACCATGCAGATGATCGAATCTTTAAGGTTGAAAGTAGCATGCAACAATTCTAATAATCAACTGACGGGTTAGACACCAGACTAAACTATGGTTCAGGTTAATATTTAATTATATTTGTTACACAATGTGATTCTTCGGAACAGCCATTCCCAATCTTAATATTAGATCTGCCAGTAAGTCCATGAAGCACAATGCTTCTTGAGAAGCTCAGATAGCCAAGATATTCTTAGACTTAAACGGGGCCAGAATGCTTATTGCTATGTGACGTATGTTTCCTTTTTCACCCTTGCCTTTGTTGTTTGTCAATGTAACATTTTCAATCTGTTACAATTTCTATGAATAATTCTGTCCTCTGGGATACAGTGTCGTGTACTTCATTAAAAGAATACCGACGTTTCGGCGTAACATGTTGCCTCCATGTGCAAGGTCGAAGAATAAGCCGAGATAGAAATAATGAAACAGTTAGAAAGCAGAGTTTGTTTTGGCCCTGATTTCTTGCTTGGATGAGTCTCCGCCCTTGCAAATGGAGGCTGCATTCAATTCCGAAACATCAGTTGACTTTAACGAACTACACGACGCTATATTCGAGAAGATAGAACTCTTCCTTAGAGAATTATTCACTTTCAATTATCCTGATACAAAGAATGCTCTTCAGTTATCCTTGCATATAGGCTTTTCTTTCCGATGAGCTGGTCCTTTGTTTCTTTCTGACTTTTCTTTATACAATTGATGTTCTGAGATAATGCTCTGTGGAACATTTCATCCCCTGGTGAATTCAGTGGCAAGCACTGAGATGTATCGCTACTACAAGTCTGTTGTTTCGATAATAAAATATCTTCGCTTTTCCATTAGCTTTATTGGTAATGCAGCGATGTCCAGTTCCCTTCGCATTCTGTGGTGTGTTATCATTAAAGCCACAGATTCTTTACTTTTCAGCTGAGTGAATTATTAATCATTTTTGCTTTTCTCTGGGACATTTTATTTCCTGCTTTCTGCTCTGAAGTTTGTATCCGTCATCATCATTATGTCAGAATTTGGTGCTTTCGTACATCAGCAGGCCCTGGAAAAGGGATCACAAACTTCATTTTGGAACACGATATATTATTATTATTATTATTATATATCTGGGGTTCGGGTCCGGCGGATTGGTCGAGCGGATTTGTGCAGGGCCTTCGCCGGGTAGAGAAATACCTGCTGGAAATTTGCTTGAAACACGCAGAATGCAATGAATGTAGAACGTGTAAGATTTGAGGCTTTCACGGCGGTGACTTTGAAGAAAGCAGTCTTCTGGGATTTGGCACCGTGTATATGTGGTGTTAACCGACGTTCCTCCGAAACGTCGGTTAACACCACATATACACAATGCCAAATCCCAGAAGACTGCTTTCTTCAATGTAAGAACATGTATGCTGCTACGGGTTTCAGCTGTGGCCGACTTCTAGCTGAATAGAGTACCGTCTTCAGGACCAACCTTTTGGTCAGATCGGAGAGTGTTTTGATATCTGTCTAGTTGCAGTATATATACGGGTCGTTGAGGGCGTTGTGTTCCAGAAGCTTCCATTAGTTCCATTCAATGCGACAGCAAAGAAGCTTCTAGAACATTCTATTGTTTACATGTTATCTATTTGTACCTTGCCTTATTCTCGGACTATAACCAATGTTTACCACTTTTCTTGGTACAGCATGTTTTGAAACGAGAGTGTCTACAGTTTTATCTGCATTCTAGTTCAAAAAAAAAAAAAGATTATTTAACAGAGTTACAATATTCACGTATACAACGCATGCAGTAACAGGAGCAAAACACAACACAGAACACGATACACAAATGTATGTAGGAAGAATGCTCACATAAAAGAGGATTGGCGTAATTCGCGTGTTTGAGTGCGACGTAGGATGAATCCTGAAAAGTTTTATTATTTAGAATTCATCGACATATATGACGAATAGTGATTTTACTCATTTTAGAATGAAGACATCATGGCATGCAGTACAATAGTTTAAAGTGCATAAAGACACCTGAGGATGGCACATTAGTGCTGAAACATGTAGTGTGGAAGTGAAGAATAAGGTGAAAAAGTGTATACACTGTAAGACGGTCAGCATAAACTATGGACTCGAAATTCCTTGAGAATTTTCTAATATATCGATAGAATTCTGTGTCTATACACTGCCAGTGTTACTGTTTCGTGTATAACACGTAAGTATAACCCACATGCCACTGAAGTTTCTTCAGAGTAACCACATAAAAGTATTTTTTTATTTTATTAAGATAAAGCTACACTCTTTCACTCCTACGTATACAGGTTAAATCAACTAAAATAACCAGTTTCAAATTAATATGAAACATTGTTTGAAAAGAAAAGAAAGAACCGCTGGAAAATATCAATTTATTATTGTAACTTGAGTTGAATATTTATACTCGAGTTTCAATGTGTAGCATATTTGTAATATTTCATACTCAATAACTTCAGTTTCCCTTTCCTAAACCAAACTCGCAAGTCCGTACGTGTACCCCGAAGGCTTAGAATTTAATCTACCTTTTAAACAATGGATTTGACTACAGTGTAAGGGGTGTTCCAAGCTCCGTCTGCCCCGAATACAAATATTCAGAGCTGTAATCTTGTACAAGACACATACATCAGCTAATGGGGAATATGAACATGAATGGAATATCTTACAGGTAGTGCAGAATAGTGTTCAGTAAACAAAATTTACATGTGTCTCCAAGTGACTAAGATATGATTCAGAGAAGGGGTGTGGCTGCTAGCCAACGGTAGCAAGGATTGTCACTAAGTGACAATGTAATCATAATTAACCAATCTTTTATATTCTTGCTGCCCATTATCTTCCACAATTGAATAAAAACCCTGGCCTCTAATCATATTAGGCAATATTGTGGTTCTCTTTTTTTTTCCTTGAAACTACAGCCCCAGTGGACCTAGGCCTACCTCCATGAACTTCTCCGTTCACTTCGGTTTTTTCTAGATCTTACACATTCGGTAGGACTCCTTAGGCGGGTCATCGGTTCGTCGCAAGGCCTCTACCTGTATACAAACACAGAAAAACGTACACACACAAACTAAACATCCATGCCCTGAGTGGGATTCGAACCCACAATCCCGGCTTCCGAGCGAGTGAAGACAGTGCATGCCTTAGACCGCTCGGCTACCGTGACCGGCTTTTGTGGCTCTTAGCGTCTCTTAATACAAACCGTAATCGAGTAATGAAACTAGATTCTAAAGGGTTCTGATGATGGTATATAACATTCGGAATTACTGGATTTTTGGACTCTTATCAATCTTTCGGTATTCTAAAAAATACAAGAGGGAACATCATTTTGGGCATTATAATTGCTTTCGTCCTCAAATAATGGGGACGGAGAGACACCTATTCTGAGGGGCGCGTTAGCTCTTTCTAAGGATCCAACAGTTCCCCATTCTCCTCATCTGAGGTCGGAAGCAGATCTAGTTTTCGAAACATAGCCTTGATTAGAAGGCCGGACGATGGAGAAAATCCAAGTAACGAAACTGTCAATTTATGACATTTCCTTTTATCAAAACTACGCTACTGAAAGAACGACAAAATTCCACATCATGCATGTTTTCTGTTTTGCCATTTGCATTAAAAGGCTGTCAAGTAACGTAGTGTCTGTGCACATAGATCGCTTTATGCATTAGTAGGATATCGGTTATAACAATATAGATGTATATTGCCTGAAAAGAGGGAATTGTAAATTTTCGGGTGCTAAGTTATTGAGGGTCAGATTTTATTTTGTGTGTAACAGTATAGCACTGAAAAGGTAACTTTCGATCAGTCGTTACAATAACGTAATCCATGGCCAAGGTCTCGTATTAATATACGACCACAGATATAATAACAGCTAGAACTATGAAAAGGAAAGAATCTTATATGTAACAAGACATATGTAATGTGAAAAAAAAATACATTTAAAAATTTTTTCTTTGTGTGGGCCCTGTCAATGTATTATTACTTTTAAGGACAGAACAAAATTCAACATCAATGCAAGGACAGTATAATTTTCCAGACATGTATAGAAGAGTTTAATATTTTACTTCTCATATTAAACTGCAGTAAAGTTTTATTTTTAACAGTACTGATGCAGTATTCTCAACACTTTTTTTTCACTTGATTATAAAGAGAAATATATGTTCCCTGTTAATATGTTTCATGTTGTAATTTACTGTTTAAAATGAAGACAAAATCCTTGCAAGCCGAATTCTTATTCACCGTACAAATATACGTACTTAATTCTATGCATTTCCGTTCTTCAAATTAGCCACTTATCTTTTGGCGATACAAATTTTTTCATGGTCTCTTCTTTTAAAAATATTATCCCGATCAATGTATTCCTCTAGAAGAGCATACAGTGCATATTCTGTTTTGATGTGGGTGGTGATTTTGCAACGCGGTAAACAGCGGGCCTCTTTGCAATGCTGGAAGTCTCTCAGAGTACCTGCACTTCTCAGAGTACGGTTTCAGACTTGGGAAAATAAAGCTCAAGTGGATGATATCGAAACACTCTAGAATTGTAGTTCTGTCTGCCTTAGCAAGATAATTCATCGGCCATCCTCCATCTTGTTTAAGTCTTAGTACAGGTTTCAGGGAATTTCATCGAGTAAGTACCCCTTCCTTTTAACTGCCAACCGAGACAAAGCCAGGTTCTGAAACGTAGCAGAGTCCAAATCTTTTATAAAGACGAAATGAGCATGTCCAAATAAAGTGCTCTGTTAACAAAGAACACATACAAGAGATTAAGCACAGTGAAGTAAATATACGGCTAGGAAAATATTTTCATTTTCTGTTTCAAACCTTATATATGTCTTCTTGAGAATGAAATTGGTTTTTCAACTTTCTAAGGAGGTATGTATAAACACAAAAAATTCTGTGGTTTTAGTCCGCAAGCGAACTATACCGACCGAGCGACCGCCGCTTGTCGGCGAAGTTATTGCCAACTTTATCGGATAGAGGGTGTCGCGTGGTCAGCGCAACGAATACTCACGGCCGTTAATTTCGGTTTTCTAGACCGGAGCCACTGCTTTTCAATTCAACTAGTTCCTCAGTTATCATCATGAGGCTGAGTGGACCCCGTTCCATACCTACTATTTATCAGGAAATCTGGTAGCGCCGAGAATTGAACCCGGGACCTCTGGATCTGCAGCCAGGAGCTCTGACCACTAGACCACAGAGACGGCCCGTCGGTATATGTATATATATATATATATATATTAAAGAGAATAAATGTATTTATCGTCATAATGTATTTGTTTTGTTCTTTTCTCTCTTAACAGAATTTAATATCCAATCATATTGTTAAGATTACTTATACTACTTTTCAGTGGAATGGGTGCATAGCCAATAACAAGGAATGATAAATTTCGGGAGATGTTGCCGGTACAACAAAAAAAAGTAGTGACGACTGAGGTGGACTCTGACGTAGAGCATGTGGACGAGGCTGAGGAAAACTAGTGAATATGCACCTCGGGAAAATCTTCAAAGACAATTCGGGATAACGGAGCGAAATCGCAAATACTGGGGAATGATTGTTCTTTAATTGTGTTGAGAAACCCTACGTTCTTTGTTGGCCAATTTACGAAACTAAGTTCCCTTTAGATTTCACGTGTGACAGACACGGAACGATTTCGATATTTTCCCTTCTGGATCTACTGTTTCCCAGCCCCCGTCTCTTCTGGTATTCCAGCTCCAATTCCAATCAATCATCTTGCATGAAACCAAGCTGAGGGGTTCCCGTCCTCGGTGGCAGAGCTGCCAGGAAATGGCATTGCAAGCGAGAAGTGAAGCGTAAAGCGAGACGAAAAGATAGATAAGGGAAGAAAAAGAGTAAAGTGTTAGACAGAAAAAGAATGTAAGAATAGGAGACAAAAAGGGCAGAACTTCAGCTCTTTTTCTTTAAATCCAGACAGCAAAGAACGACTCGAATAACCCACAAGCAGTTCAGCTCCTCCTCAACTCAGTGTATGCTCGTCGTCCGATTTATCATTCTGTAAATATTCCCTCAAATTTATGAAAGAAATAGTGTCT